CCTACCAGAGCAACTTCAGCTTGGTTCGCGCGCACCGAAAAGTTCGGCGCCTGCGATGACGGCTGTGCCTGCTGAGATGACAGCCGTGCGTGCCCACAAATGCTAAGGAAGCGCATGGATCCCTATAGGCATAGGGAAAAGCATCAACGACCCGAATGTTGTTGCATATTTGGGTGGCCCATGTTCAAATACAACTTCCAGAGCAATTTCCGCTTGGTTCGCGCACACAAAAAAGTTCGGCACCCGTGATGACGGCCGTGCCTGCCGACAAATGCTAAGGAAGTGCATGGATCCCTATAGGCGCAGGGAAAAGCATCAATGACCCAAATGGTGTTGCATATTCGGGTGGCCCATGTTCAAGTACACCTATCAGAGCAAGTTCAGCTTGGTTCGCGTGCACAGAAAAGTTTGTCGCCCGCGATGACGGCCGTGCCTGCCCACAAATGCTAAGGAAGCGCGTGGATCCCTATAGGCTCATGTTCAAGTACACCTACCAGAGCAAGTTCAGCTTGGTTCGCGTGCACAGAAAAATTCGGCGGCCGCGATGACGGCCGTGCCTGCCCACAAATGCTAAGGAAGCGCATGGATCCCTATAGACGTAGGGAAAAGCATCCAACGATCTGAATGTTGTTCCATATTCGGATGGCCCGTGTTCAAAAACACCTTCCAGAGCAACTTCAGATTGGTTCGCGCGCACAGAAAAGTTCGGCGGCCGCGATGACGGCCGTGCCTGCCGACAAATTCTAAGGAAGTGCATGGATCCCTATAGGCGTAGCGAAAAGCATCGAACGACCCGAGTGTTGTTGCATATTCGGATGGCCCATGTTCAAATACACCTACCAGAGCAACTTCAGCTTGGGTCGCGCGCACAGAAAAGTTCGGCGTCCGACGCGCGCACAGAGAAGTTCGGCGCACGTGATGACGGCCGTGCCTGCCGACAAATGCTAAGGAAGTGCATGGATCTTTATAGGCGTAGGGAAAAGCATGCAACGACCCGAATGTTGTTGCATATTCGGGTGGCCCATGTTCAAATACACCTTCCAGAGCAACTTCAGCTTCGTTCGCGCGCAAAGAAAAGTTCGGCGCCCGCGATGACGGCCGTGCCTGCCCACAAATGCTAAGAAAGCGCAAGGATCATTTCAGGCGTAGGGAAAAGTATCGAACAACCCGAACGTTGTTGCATATTCGGGTGACCCATGTTCAAGTACACCTTCCAGAGCAACTTCAGCTTGGTTCGCGCGCATAGAGAAGTTCGGCGGCCGCGATGACGGCCGTGCCTGCCCACAAATGCTAAGGAAGCGCATGGATCCCTAGAGGCGTAGGGAAAAGCATCGATCGACCCGAATGTACCCATGTTCAAGTATACCTTCCAGAGCAACTTCAGATTGGTTCTCGCGCACAGAAAAGTTCGGCGCCCGCGATGGCGGCCGTGCCTGCCGACAAATGCTAAGGAAGCGCATGGATCCCTATAGGCGCAGGGAAAAGCATCGAACGACCCAAATGTTGTTGCATATTCGGGTGGCCCATGTTCAAATACACCTTCCAGAGCAACTTCAGATTGGTTCGCGCGCACAGAGAAGTTCGGCGCCCGCGATGGCGGCCGTGCATGCCGACAAATGCTAAGGAAGCGCATGGATTCCTATAGGCGTAGGGAAAAGTATGAAACGACCCAAATGTTGTTTCATAATCGGGTGGCCCATGTTCAAATACACCTTCCAGAGCAACTTCAGCTTGGTTCGCGCGCACAGAGAAGTTCGGCGCCCGCGATGGCGGCCGTGTCTGCTGACAAATGCTAAGGAAGCGCATGGATTCCTATAGGCGTAGGGAAAAGCATGAAACGACCCGAATGTTGTTTCATAATCGGGTGGCCCATGTTCAAATACACCTTCCAGAGCAACTTCAGCTTGGTTCGCGCGCACAGAGAAGTTCGGCGCCCGCGATGGCGGCCGTGTCTGCCGACAAATGCTAAGGAAGTGCATGGATCCCTATTAGCATAGGGAAAAGCATGCAACGACCCGAATGTTGTTGCATATTCGGGTGGCCCATGTTCAAATACACCTTCCAGAGCAACTTCGGCTTGGTTCGCGCGCACAGAGAAGTTCGGCGCCCGCGATGACGGCCGTGCCTGCCTACAAATGCTAAGGAAGCGCACGGAACAACCCAAATGTTGTTGCATATTCGGGTGGCCCATGTTCAAATACACCATCCAGAGCAACTTCAGCTTGGTTCGCGCGCACAGAGAAGTTCAGCGCCCGCGATGGCGGCCGTGCCTGCCCACAAATGCTAAGGAAGCGCATGGATCTCTATAGGCGTAGGGAAAAGCATCCAACGACCCGAATATTGTTGCCTATTCGAGTGGCCCATGTTCAAATACACCTTCCAGAGCAACTTCAGATTGGTTTGTGCGCACAGAAAAGTTCGGCGCCCGCGATGGCGGCCATGCCTGCCCACAGATGCTAAGGAAGCGCATGGATCCCTATAGGTGTAGGGAAAGGCATCCACGACCCGAATGCTGTTGCATATTCGGGTGGCCCATGTTCAAATACACCTTCCAAAGCAACTTCAGAGAGCAACTTCAGATTGGTTCGCGGGCACAGAAAAGTTCGGCGCCCGCGATGTCGGCCATGCCTGCCGACAAATGCTAAGGAAGCGCATGGATCCCTATAGGCGTAGGGAAAAGCATCTAACGACCCGAATGTTGTTGCATATTTGGGTGGCCCATGTTCAAATACACCTACCAGAGCAGCTTCAGCTTGGTTCGCGCGCACAAAAACGTTTGGCACCCGCGATGACGTGTCAAACATTATATATGTTGTAGTTGTTTAGGCTACAGTGGGTTAGCCTTTAGGGGGTACACAATTCTAGGGTTAGGTATGTGTACTCTCACTTCTTTCTAGTCCAACCACTTCTTCTTTCTAACATGATATTAAGAGCGTAGGTTTAGACCTAGGATCGCTCCTTAGGGCCCACCACACCGTACGACTGTCTGCCTACTAGCGCCCTCGTGCGCCCTACTGTCGGAGCGCCCTCGAGTGCCTCCCCCCAGCGCCCTCGTGCGCCCCTCTTTAACGGCCCCGTAAGGCCCCGCGACCCGCGACCCGCCCCTTAGCGACCCGCGCGCCGCCCCTTAGAGGCCCCTCTCATGGCCGCGTCGACCCTGCGCGCAGCCCCTTAGAGGCCCCGTCGGCCCCGTCGACCCCGCGCGCAGCCCCTTAGAGGCCCCGTCGGCCCAGTCGACCCCGCGCGCGCCCCACCTAGCGGCCCCGTCGGCCCCGTCGACCCCGTGCGCGCCCCCCTTAGCGGCCCTGTCGGCCCCGTCGACCCCACGCGCCGCCCCTTAGCGGCCCATCTCACGGCCCCGTCGACCCCGACAGCAGCCCCTTAGAGGCCCCGTCAACCCCGTCGACCCCGCGCGCGCCCCACCTTAGCGGCCCCGTCGGCCCCGTCGACCTCGTGCGAGCCCCCCCCCCTTAGCGGCCCCGTCGGCCCCGTCGACCCCACGCGCCGCCCCTTAGCGCCCCGCACGCGACAGCCACGGCCCCGCCAGAACCAGGCCGCCCGAACCGAGCCGCCCGAACCGAGCCGCCCAGCCCGAGCCAAGCCGCGCCGCCCGAACCGAGCCGCGCCGCCCTCCCCGTACTGAGCAGCACTCTCTGGACCGAGCCGCCCTACCTGAGTCGCGCTGCCTGCTGCTTTTAGGGTTCGCCTGCTGCTACTATACTGCTGCTCCTACTGCTACTATGGCTAGCCCTCCTGTGCTAGCTTTCGATGCTGAGGGCCGCCCAGTGAAGTTTGACACCTGGCTAGATGACCTGCACCTCTTCCTACAGCTCACTGCCAAGGAGGACATCTCACTGTACGATCACGCCCTAGGCCATGCCACTGCCCCTGCTGCTACTGCTGACAGCACTACCCGCTCACAGTGGCAGACTCGTGACGCCCACGCTCGCTTTGCTATTCGCAACTCCCTGCCGATAGATGAGCGCGAGCACTTTGGCCAGCACAAGACTGCACAGGCACTGTACACTGCTGTCGTTGCCCGCTACTCCTCACCTGCCTCTGCCGCGCTAGGCCGTCTCTCACTCCCCTACCTGTTCCCCGACCTGTCCTCTTTCCACACAGTCGCTGACCTCATCACGCACCTGTTATAGTCACAATAGGCTTGAATGTGCCTAAAACGAAAGATAGAGAGCACAGACGGATTTCTGCACAGCGGCTTCAAACGTTGATAGCGTTCTGCTCACAGCTGCAAATGACTTGATTCAAATTGTATATGGAGTGTCTTCACGTCGTCTACAATTAGCAATTTAGATTGCACGATTTGATAAAGAATTGACGACACAGCGTCGGTTTGAACGAACGGTACTATGGCAGCCACTATAGTCTTAGAACACAAGATAGAAAGAGTTACGAGTTGGGAATGACTCCCAGCTCCTACAAACCCCAAGAGCCGAGGTACAGTGATGTGGAACAGTGCCACACTGTCCCCAACCACGAAGGGTCTCGAAACTACCCTTCACTAGGGCCTACACCAAGTGAAATGTTACACTACACAAAGTAATGTAACTATCTTCAATATCTTGAGGTGTACCCTTTTTGGCGAGCTTCGAAATCACTTGAGGCTTGACACCAAGGCTCAGGCTCTTCATCACAAACTCATCCTTGAGTTCTTGATGGGTCTGCTGCACACACCTGCGACACGCCGAACGTTCGACACAGGACAAAATAGAAACCGCGCACGACAAAATAGAAACCGCGCGCGAGACACAAACGACCGCGTAACACGCGTCTAGCCATAACTCGCTATTGACTCGACACACACACTCGACATCATGACTCAACATTCACACACAATTATAAGCATGAAATATATATTATCCCATGCCCTCATACCATTCCATACACACACACATTCACGCACACGGACAACAAGCCGAGTGCAAACCGTAGGGTTGCACCAACAGCACCTCCGTACTAGTGAGGCCCGCTTCCGTGCCGCTATGCCCGATGAGTTTCTTGCCACGAACCCCCCCCCGCTCTGGCTCACTCTCTACCACCTAGTCACCCGCCTCCCTGACACTCTGCGTGCAGTCAGGGATCACTTCCTAGCTCGCTGCCCCACTGAGCTCACCATTGCCCTCCTCGAGAAGGAACTACTTGCAGCTGAGGCTAGCATAGTCGCTGTAGGTGCCTCTCGTGGCGACCCCCGCACCCCTTTCTTTGAGGGGTGTTCCCCTTCCCCCCTTCTTCCCTCTGTAGCCTCTGCTGCTGCTGTCGACCTCCTTGGTGCTGAGAAGGTCGGGACTGCGTCCGCTTCGAGCTGGCGCCGCAGCGGCAAGGGCAAAGGGGGCAAGGGAGGCGGAGGTGACGGCGGGGGAGGCGGTGGTGGGGGCGGTGGCGGCGGTGGGGGTGGTGGTGGGGCTGGAGGGACTAGTGGCAGCGGTGGGGGTGGTGGCGGCAGCGGCGGGGGAGGTGGCAGGGGCGGGGGCGGTGGTGGGGGCGGCGGTGGACGCGGCGGCGGCAGGGGAGGGGGTGGTCGAGGAGGTGGCGGCGGTGGTGGTGGTCGTGGAGGCACTGGCAGTGGCCAGAGCCAGCAGCACACTCCGTCGCCCCAGGAGCTCCGTGAGTGGTACTCTCAGCACGGGGGGGGGGGGGTGGTCTTACCTGCACGTACGTCATCCGCACTGGTGACCGCACTGGTCAGACGTGTGGGAGGGCGCACACCACGCAGCGCTGCTTCTCCTGCCTCGACGACGCTTGGCGTACTCAGTTCCCTGATGCCACTGAGCTGCCCCGCTGGGCTGATCTGATGAAGAAAAACATTGATATCTATGCTCTAGACTTTGATGCTATTCTCACTGCCATGTATGTGATGTCTAATAGTGGAGAGGGTGCTCAGTACCTGCGTGTTCCGCCCGACCCGGGCATTCGGACCAGTGAGGCTGCCGCTCTAGGTGCTAGTGCGTCTGTTGCCCTAGGTGCTGGTGAGGCTGCCACTCCAGGTACTCGCGTGTCTGCTACCCCAGGTGCTGGTGAGGCTGCTGCTCTAGGTGCTAGTGAGTCTGCGCCCCCTGGTACTGAGTCGACTGAGGCACTGCACACCTTCACACTGGACTCAGGTGCTTCTCGCTGCTTCTTTCGTGACCGCACTGCCCTTGAGCAGCTTGCTCGGCCAGTTGCTGTCTCCCTCGCTGACCCCTCTGGGGGTCCGGTCATTGCGACCTCCTCCACTGTCCTTCCTTGTCCTGCGGTCCTGTCGGGCACACTGTCATGTCTCCACCTCCCCTCGTTCTCTACGAACTTGGTGGCGGGTTGTGCGCTCCAGGACGGAGGTGTTCACCAGTTCACTCCTGCCTACGAGCGCGTGACACACTGCACGTGTGCTCGGACGGGCCGTCACCTGGCTACCTTCGCTCGGCAGCTGGGGTCGGACCTGTACACACTGACCACTGAGTCCCCTCAGGTAGCTGCGTCTGCGTCAGGTCAGCTGTCTGCCCCCTGCTCGTGTCGCTCTCTGGCGCACGAAACCGTCCTCTAGCACCACCGACTTGGTCACCCGTCCGTGCAGCGCCTTCGTGCCATGCACAAACGGTACCTTGTCTCTGGCCTTCCCAGGGTTCTCCCTCCCCTCCCACCCTCGCCTGCTCCTCCCTGTCTTCCCTGTGTCGAGGGGCGGCAGCGCGCCGCTCCTCACTCCTCCTCGTTTCCCCCGACGACTGCTCCCTTGCAGACGCTCCACATGGACGTGTGGGGCCCAGCCCGCGTCCGTGGTCAGGGTCAGGAGAGGTACTTCCTGATAGTTGTTGACGACTACTCGCGCTACACCACGGTCTTCCCCTTGCGCACCAAGGGTGAGGTCCCTGATGTTTTGATCCCTTGGATCCGCGCTTCTCGTCTCCAGCTCAGCGAGCGTTTCCACTCGGACTTTCCTGTCCTACGCTTGCACTCTGACAGAGGTGGTGAGTTCTCCTCCGACCTCTTGGCAGCCTACTGTGCCGAGCACGGCATCCGCCAGTCGTTCACGCTTCCGGCCTCTCCACAGCAGAATGGGGTTGCTGAGCGCCGCATTGGCTTGGTCATGGAGGTCGCTCGTACCTCCTTGATCCATGCGGCTGCCCCCCACTTTCTGTGGCCGTTTGCGGTCCGATACGCTGCGCATCAGCTCAACCTCTGGCCCCGTGTCTCCTTGCCGGAGACTTCCCCGACACTGCGTTGGACGGGAGAGGTTGGTGATGCGTCGCGTTTTCGGGTCTGGGGATCTCGAGCTTTTGTTCGCGATACGTCCGCGGACAAGCTCTCCTCCCGCGCTGTTCCTTGTGTCTTCCTTGGCTTTGTCCCGGACGCGTCTGGTTGGCAGTTTTACCACGCCACCTCGCGCCGTGTCCTGCCCTCTCAGGACGTCACCTTTGACGAGTCCGTGCCCTACTACCGCCTCTTCCCCTACCGCACTGCCCCGCTCCCCCCCCCGCCTCTCTTCCTCGCGCCAGGTGCTGCTATGGTAGACCCCCTCCCCCCTCAGGGTGCCGCTCCCTCAGGTGTGTCCCAGGTAGACCCGGTTGAGCCTGTCGAGGTAGCTGTCGACTCTCGTCCTGCCAGGGGTGCTGAGCCTGAGCGTGCGGAGCCTGGGGTTGCGGAGTCTGGGGGTGCTGAGCCTGGGGGTGCGGGGTCTGGGGGTGCGGAGCCTGGGGGTGCGGAGCCTGGGGGTGCGGAGCCTGGGGTTGCGGAGTCTGGGGGTGCTGAGCCTGGGGGTGCGGAGCCTGCGGGTGCTGAGTCTGGGGGTGCTGAGTCTGGGGGTGCTGAGTCTGGAGGTGCTGAGCCTGGGAGTGCTACACCTGGAGGAGCTCTCTCCTCACTGCAGCTGCGTGAGTGGTACTTACAGTACTGCAGCCTCAAGAGAGGTGCTTCTGGAGCTAGGAGTGCTGCTGGAGCTGGTGCTACTGCTTCCCCTCCTAGGCGGGAGCTGCCCTCTCCTCAGCGGCTCCGAGAGTGGTACGCGCGGCGCTGCAGTCTCCGGAGTGGCACTCCTAGTGTCGCTGGTACTACTGGAGGTGCTGCTGGTGCTGGTGCTGCTGACGCTGCTGGAGGTGCTGCTGGTGCTGGTGGTACTGCTGGAGCTGCTGGAGGTACTTCTGGTACTGGGGCTGCTGGAGCTGCTGGAGCTGCTGCTGGTGCTGAGGACCCGGGAGTTGGAGCTGCTGCTGGTGCTGCGGACCCGGGCGTTGGAGCTGCTGCTGGTGCTGCGGACCCTGGAGTTGGAGCTGCTGCTGGTGCTGCAGACCCTGGAGTTGGAGCTGCTGCTGGAGCTGAGGACACTGGAGTTGGAGCTGCTGCTGGTGCTGCGGACCCGGGAGCTGGTGCTGCTGGTGTAGCTGGAGACCCTGGAGCTGGAGGTACTGGTGGTGCCTCTGCTGGTTCTGGAGGTGCTGCGCGGCCGCGGCCGTACTTCGTTCCGCTCCTTCAGCAGGTTCTTGGTCAGCCGCCTCCCCCTAGTCCTGCTCCCTCCTTAGAGTGTCCTCCGCCTGTCCAGTCTGCCTGCCTCGCCACTCCCTGGTCCTTCTCCTTACACTGGTCCGACAGGCGGTCTCACTGAGCGTCGTGAGCCTGAGTCTCGTCCTGTGTCGCCAGAGTCTCGGTCTGCGTCGCCTGTTCGTGCTGCTCGCACTGGTCGTCGTGTCCCGCGTCAGCGTCCACCTGCTGTCCCAGGCACTCACCAGATGGCGCTTCGTCCTTCCACTGCTCCTCAGCGTGTCCCTCTGCCGTCTCCTCCTGCGTCCTCTCTTCCTGCTCTTACTGACCCGGAGTCTGACTCCCTTCGTGCTGCCAGTCCTACTGTCACGCGTCTCCTCGCCACTGTTGTCACTGACCCTACCTTTGAGTCCTCTGCTGCGTCTGCTCTAGTCGCTGAGTTAGTTGACTTTGCTGCCGCTTGTCGTCTAGACTACGCCACTAGCCTTGTTGCTGAGTCTGAGTCTGTCTGTCCTCCGTCCGTCGGGGGTGAGTGTGCTCTTGGCACGGACGTCCTTGAGGACAGGCAGGAGGAGTTTGAGTGCTTTGCCGCTGCTTTGCCTCATCTCGTGTCCATGCTGGTTGCCCCTGAGGGAGACCCGGATGCTCCAGACATCCCGACCCCGCGCTCTTACGCTGAGGCGATCGCGGGAGAGTACTCCTCTCAGTGGCAGACAGCCATGGACGCAGAGATGGCTTCTTGGAAGTCCACAGGCACCTACGTCGACGAGGTTCCCCCACCTGGGGCGAACATCGTCAGTGGCATGTGGATTTTCAGGGTGAAGCGGCCGCCGGGTTCTCCGCCTGTCTTCAAGGCGCGTTACGTTGCACGAGGCTTCAGTCAGCGAGAGGGAGTTGACTTCTTCCAGACCTTCTCCCCGACCCCGAAGATGACCACTCTTCGGGTTCTTCTGCACGTCGCCGCTCAGCGTGACTACGAGCTCCACTCTCTTGACTTCAGCACTGCTTTCCTACAGGGCAGCCTGCACGAGGAGATCTGGCTGCGCCGCCCACCTGGCTTCACTGGGTCGTTCCCTCCTGGTACCCAGTGGAGTCTCCGGCGGCCAGTCTACGGTCTCCGACAGGCGCCGCGTGAGTGGCACGACACACTGAGAACTACACTTGCGGCTCTTGGGTTCGCTCCTTCTACTGCTGACCCGTCGCTATTTCTACGCACCGATACTTCGCTGCCGCCGTTCTACATCCTCGTGTACGTCGACGACTTGGTCTTTGCCACTGCTGACACTACGGCACTCGCCCACGTGAAGTCGGAGCTGCAGAAGAGACACACGTGCACAGACCTGGGTGAACTGACAAGCTATCTTGGCTTGCGGATCACCCGGGACAGAGCACGGCGCACCATCACCTTGACTCAGTCACACATGGTGCAGCAGGTCCTTCAGCGCTTCCGCTTCACGTACTCCTCGCCTCAGCCCACTCCTCTGCCTACCAGTCACTCGCTCTCAGCTCTGCCTTCGGATAAGTCCGTAGAGCCGAGTGGCCCGTATCCAGAGCTTGTGGGCTGCCTCATGTACCTGATGACCTGCACTCGACCTGACCTTGCATACCCTCTTAGCATCCTTGCACGCTATGTCGCTCCTGGTCGTCACCGGAAGGAGCACATGGATGCCGCTAAGAGGGTGTTGCGCTACTTGTGCAGTACGTCGGGCATGGGGCTAGTGCTTGGAGGACGAGACCGAGTTGTACTCACTGGGCACTCAGACGCTTCTTGGGCTGACGACCAGGCTACTCAGCGGTCGTCTCAGGGTTACACCTTCAGCCTTGGCTCTGGTTCAGTTTCTTGGCGTTCTACACGCTCGTCTTCTGTTCTCAGCTCCAGTTGTGAGGCTGAGATCTACGCCATAGCCATGGCTGCACAGGAGTTACGCTGGCTCACCTACCTGCTGACCGACTTGGGAGAGCGGCCTCGTTCTCCTCCAGTCCTGTACGTCGACAACAAGGCTGCCATTGCCTTGTGTGAGGAGCACAGACTGGAGAACAGAACGAAGCATATCGCTCTGCGCTACTTCCTTGCTCGAGAGCTGCAGCAGCGCGGTCAGCTTTTTTTGCGTTACGTGGCCACTCGGGCCAACACTGCTGATGTGTTCACCAAGGCGCTTCAGCCTTGTGACTATCAGCGCTTCTGTACAGTTCTAGGCCTTGTGCCTACTGTGCCTCACTTGCTTACTTCTTGACTCTGCTTGTACAGTGATCTCTACATATATACCTGCATGTTTACTCTTGCTAGGTTGTGATCACTGTACCTCTTGTTCTATTATCAAACTGCATGTGAACTGGTCTTGTGACCACTTGCTTGTGCTCGGAATTTGTGTGGTATCCTTGAGATCCACCCTGAGCTTGTCTTGCTTTGCTTTGCTTTGACTGGTCTTGTGACCCCTTGCTCTCCCCCACTTCGCCTATCGGGGTGTGTCAAACATTATATATGTTGTAGTTGTTTAGGCTACAGTGGGTTAGCCTTTAGGGGGTACACAATTCTAGGGTTAGGTATTTGTACTCTCACTTCTTTCTAGTCCAACCACTTCTTCTTTCTAACATGACGGCTGTGCCTGCCGAGATGACGGCCGTGCGTGCCCACAAATGCTAAGGAAGCGCATGGATCCCTATAGGCATAGGGAAAAGCATCAACGATGTTGTTGCATATTCGGGTGGCTCATGTTCAAATACACCTTCCAGAGCAACTTCAGCTTGGTTCGCGCGCACAAAAAAATTCGGCGGCCGCGATGACGGCCGAGCCTGCCGACAAATGCTAAGGAAGCGCATGGATCCCTATAGGCGTAGGGAAAAACATCAATGACCCAAATGGTGTTGCATAATCGGGTGGCACATGTTCAAATACACCTACTAGGCCAACTTCAGCTTGGTTCGCGTGCACAGAAAAGTTCGGCGCCCGCGATGACGGCCGTGCCTGCCCACAAATGCTAAAGAAGCGCATGGATCCCTATAGGCGCAGAGAAAGGCATCCAGCGACCTGAATGTTGTTGCATATTCGTGTGGCCCATCGTCAAAAACACCTTCCAGAGCAATTTCAGCTTGGTTCGCACGCACGGAAAAGTTCGGCGCCCGCGATGACGGTCGTGCCTACCGACAAATGCTAAGGAAGCGATGGATCCCTATAGGCGCAGGGAAAAGCATCCAACGACCCGAATGTTGTTGCATATTCGGGTGGCCCATGTTCAAAAACACCTTCCAGAGCAACTTCAGCTTGGTTCGCGCGCACGGAAAATTCCGGCGCCCGCGACGACGGCCGTGCCTGCCGACAAATGCTAAGGAAGCGCATGGATCCCTATAGGCGCAGGGAAAAGCATCCAACGACCCGAATGTTGTTGCATATTCGGGTGGCCCATGTTCAAAAACATTATCTAGAGCAACTTCAGCTTGGTTCGCGCGCACGGAAAACTTCGGCGGCCGCGATGACGGCCGTGCCTGCCCACAAATGCTAAGGAAGCGCATGGATCCCAATAGGCGCAGGGAAAAGCATCCAACCACCAGAATGTTGTTGCATATTCGGGTGGCCCATGTTCAAGAACACCTTCCAGAGCAACTTCAGATTGGTTCGCGCGCACAGAAAAGTTCGGCGCCCGCGATGACGGCCGTGCATGCCGACAAATGCTAAGGAAGCGCACGGAACAACCCAAATGTTGTTGCATATTCGGGTGGCCCATGTTCAAAAACACCTTCCAGAGCAATTTCAGATTGGTTCGCGCGCACAGAAAAGTTCGGCGCCCGCGATGACGGCCGTGCCTGCCGACAAATGCTAAGGAAGTGTGTGGATCCCTATAGGCGTAGGGGAAAGCATCGAACGACCCGAATGTTGTTGCATATTTGGGTGGCCCATGTTCAAATACACCTACCAGAGCAACTTCAGCTTGGTTCGCGCGCACAGAAAAGTTCGGCGCCCGCGATGACGGCTGTGGCTGCTGAGATGACAGTCGTGCGTGCCCACAAATGCTAAGGAAGTGCATGGATCCCTATAGGCGCAGGGAAAAGCATCAATGACCCAAATGGTGTTGCATATTCGGGTGGCCCATGTTCAA